CCCGGGAGGTGTTCACCTGAGCTGCGTGAAGCTGACCCCCCACCCGCAGAAAAAGAAAAAAAGGCCGCCTGTATAATGGTAGGGGAAACACTGCAATACTTTTGCGTTGGAACGCAAAAAAATAAAAAATAAAAACCCATGTCCCCTCGTGGGCTCAGTAATAAACCCCTCTGTCAAACTGGAACGGACTGGTCTGGAAGCTGGAAGGGGGCGGGGTGTGAAGCTCCTCATTTGGATTTTAAGAGACAGCCTCAAAATGAGTTGATCTGTGACACACCTCAGAAAAGGGGTGAAAGAGGGGCTTGTGGAGTTACAATAAGAAGGAATTCAGATCAAATCATTGCAATTCCACTTTATATAGACCCCATCTGAAGGATTAAATGTGAAAAGGAAGGATTTAAAAGCACGATATGTCCACYTTAAGCAAAGCTGCTCAGTGGTAAAGAGAGTTTTTGAGCATCTTTTGTCTCCTCCCTCCACCCTCCTCTCATTCCTCCTCCTCCATCCCATTAGCTGATTACTTTTATCCCATCATGCACCACAGAGAACAGGAAGATTGCCAGGGAGTTRTGAGATGGACCTAATTGAGCCCCTGCTCCTTTTCCCTCCCATTAACCCTTTATTCACATCAGCTCCCCCTCTGCCCGCCTCWTCCTCGCCTCAACGACTTTCTCCACCTTTCAGCTCCTCAACAGAAGAACTGACCTTGTAGTCGGACCCGTTAATGAAGACTGGGCAGCTCTCCTCTGTCTGGGGGTGACTCGTCTCGAACCGTGGCTGTCGGCCAAACGACGTGTCATATTTTRACTAAAAAGCGCAGTCCTCACGTCKGACGGCRAGGAGAGTAAATTGGCGWWGGAGCAGAAGTGACATCAGCATATTTCTCAGCAGACAGCCTTTAATGAACAGATTTGATTTGATGGGTTGTTTAATAAATGCTCTGCCATCCCTGTGCATAAAGGATGCTTTATGTTGGAACAACGCCTTATATTTTATTTTCCTCAAAGCTATAAAGATGTTTGTCGTGAACAGAGTTCGGTTTTATTTGTTGGTTCGGCTAGCTGCTTTTGATCGCTGGGAAAGGAACAGATGTGGAAGTTTAATGAGCAGTGGAACTTCTCGCAGTAGAAAAGGCAGCTGGAGAGAACCAAAGCCCAGTAATGAGAAATTCGTTTATTTTGAGCCGAGACGACGGCAGGTAAATGGCCTGAGCAGACAGAGGAAGGGTGGAGGGGAAAAGGAAAATGGATCAAGACCTGGTGTCCGTCCTTCCCCTCSCCGTACGGTAAAACGTAGCAGGCTGTGTCCTGCTGTCACCACAATTCAATTCCGTCTATAAATAACCTTTATTCTCGTACCGAACCCGCTGGCACAMCGTTTTCTGATTGCAGAGATGCACAAACCACACCTCCTCTGGCAGCTGCTGGTGGTTTCTGTGCTTTATTGGTGAATCTTTAATGAGGACAAAGTCTCGACAATTAAAGTAAAAATCCTTCAGCGCATTTTGCACTGTTAATTCATTTATTCATTTCATTTAAAAATAAAAATTTTATACACACAAAAAAATCACACTTGAAATGAAAGGAGGCAGAAGAAGAAAAAAAAATCTTATACCTGCCCCCTTTTTTCCAAAATAACTTTTTTTAAACTATAACAAGTGATATG